TATATGCCCAAAAGGAATTGCCTCGCCTCACCCTGCCTCACCCCGAGCTCTGCTTCCCGTCAAGCATCGATTGGCCCCTCATGCGTTTGGTAGATACAAGACACAAACTGAGTAAAGCACTGTGGCTAAAAATACTGCATCAGACCTTGACCAATGGCCATTAGGTTCTCATGATTTATTAATGTGGCGTTAGACACATACATGACCTGCCCTGACTCACATCCATGTCTCACTGTGACCCGGGACACAGTTCCACACTCAGACAAGCTTCAGTCCACAAAGCATCCCGGCATATTTTATTCTATTCATCATCATTGATTATCAGGCTTCTCTCCTTAGCCTGAGCTCAGTCTGTATTATATCGGCTTATTAGCAGCCGGATGCTTTAGTGGAAAGTTTTACATGTTGGTGGGGGGGAATAGTACCTCATGAATATAAACATGAGCAGCCTGGGCTGCTTTGATCTCGGCCTGGCTGAGAGCCCTGAATGGAGTGGGCTGGAGCTGCCGTTGCACAGCTCTCTCTGCCTATTTTAACCATTTGCATAATTGTTATAACTGTCGAGGCCAGCAGTGCAAAGTACTTGATAAATGTGGATTGTATTAGAAGCAAGAAGGAGATGCCAGAGCGCCGCTGCGGGTGTCGGCGCTCGCACATGGGATATTTGTGTGTGACGGTGAGGGAGTAGAATTGCTGTAAGGAAGCGAGTGTGTCACTGACTGAGCCGAGAACCGACAGCCAGCAGCAGGACGCTCCAGTCATTAGCTGGGATGAGCCCAGGTTTGATCCTGCATGCAGCCCTGCACCTGCCAAAGCATTCTGACCACCGTACAGAGTTTTTGTAAGTTTATGCCGACAAATTATGCACATAATCTGAATTTTATTGCACACGAGTTTCCAAGAACTTCCCCGGCAGTCACTTGGTTCATTTCATTTCACTGCTGTATAAGTTGAAACATGATTAAGATTGACAGTCCGTGACTATTCTTTGCTTTATTTTCCCATTATTTTGCACGGTGAGGCTGGAAAACTCATCCTCTTGATGATTTTAAAGACGCTGAAGACTTCGATGCACCAACTAAATAGCATCCCAGTGCACAAATTAGTCACATGATTCTAGGTGACCCCGTAACCGAGTGGTCGGGGTGAATGTCCTGAGCAGGGAGTTCCCAGTTCGATAGTTGGATTTTCAACTTTCGGACAATCTTTGAACTACTCATCTGTGATGTTTCATACCATCTGGAAGCTTAAAACTGTGACATTTACTCAAAATCACTTCCTTCTACATGTCTTGTTTAAAAAATGCCAAAAATGAAACTGTTTGCTCTAACAAGATTCAGTTAAAAACAAAAAAATCTGTGCACCTTGATGCAGCCGTGAAGCTATTAGCCACTCAGCCGAGACCAATAGTCACATGACCAAAATTCAGGGACTGTTCAGTTGAACTGTGCGGAACTGCAGGCTGAACTTCACAGGGCAGGTAGGAGACATGTAGGGAAACAAATAAGACTTTTATGATACCTTTTGCATGCAGATACATCATTATTTCCTGTATCGGTAGCAATGTCGCACATGTTTTTCATGATGATTTATTGCCTAATCTTTGTTATACTGCGCAAAAGCCATTTTTGAGTTCCTTCTAGTTCTATGTGTGACGGTGTTATTTCCATACAGGTGCAGGACTTCATATTGCAGTTAACATGAGCCCGAAGTCAGTAAAAACTTGAAAGAAGCAAAGACACGCCCAGACTCTGCTCAGAGTTCAGTGAGTTGAAGACATCAAAAATACACATGATCCTTTCAAAGCATTCATGTTTGCATGTTGATGACGTCTCAGGTTAGATCTTGTGACAGCAAAGCTTTGCATAAGAGTGTTTCTGGCTGCCGTATTTTAAATATCAGGACTAAAATGCATTATCAAGGAAATATTCTTTGGAAGCAACATTTAAGCTTCAGTTTTCATTTTTACTATTTAATGAGATTCATTCGATTTATGTTTGTGTTACGGTTTGAAAAACTGGTAATAAATGGGCTAAAACAAGAAAAACATCCTCTCTGTCCCTGTAAAGTCTTCCTGGTACGCTGGTGCCACATCAGGCTGAACACCAAGAGGGACTTTGCCTCCCTCGGGTCTTGTTTATAGTCGGAAAGACTGCGGCGTGTTTGTGTGTTTTATGGTCTGGAGAATGTTTTATGGCTGCTGCGGGTGTTTATGCACGGGAAGAGAGGGGGGTCAAAAGGGTGAAATCAATAGTGATCCTTAATGAGGTCGTCTGAAAAGGAGGAGGGGAGAGGAGAGGTGGGTGATTTGAGAAACGATGGCGATGGGGGTTTGTAGAGAGAACGTGTTCTGTTTAGTGGGGAAGAGGCTCAAACCCCCCAGCTGATAAGGCAATAGAGCCTCATAGGTGGGTATTGGGGTAACGTGGCAACTGGTTTAGTTTTGTCAAAGCCAATGGATAATGGTAACGTTACTTTTTCTCTGCAAAATGTTTCCTGCTGTGACTGACAGAAAGCCTAAAATCACCCCGACAGCCATCATATCCAATGAGAATATATTCAGGCAATGCCGAGTGTGTGATCGGTACATTGGCTGCGTCTGATTTTCATGAGAGGCAGGAAATTTGCAAAGAAAATAAGCTGCCACACTACCTGATTAAATTGTCCATAATGTGCATTGTTCACAAAAGTACTTTTTCCTCTTTTTTTTTTTTTAAGGAAATGAGTTGTAGTAACCCAGTTGGATCAGAGTTACATAACAAGCTTATGATGTGACATATGCTGTCCTACCTCTGGAAAAAAAAAAAAAAAAACATTACCCTCAGAGAGTTCATGTTTCACATGATCCTGTGGTCTTTTGATTTGCTGTTGGGAAAGATAACACAAGCCTCTGAGAGGAAAGACTGATTCGGTAAGAGCTCCATCATGATGAAATAGACATTTTTAAAATTGGTTTGGGATTTGTCCTCTTTGTAAAAGCATCATTTCGCATTTATTGCTGTCCTATAATCGGGCTTGCACGGAGGTCAGGTTGCGTGTGTTTGTTTTGTAGCGAAGTGCGACGCTGTGATGTTGTGGGAAGCTGAGTTGTTCTAGCTGTGCTGTGAGACAGCTGTCTGTACGGAAAAACACAGCTGATGAAACGTGTGTCGGCTCGTCGTCCTCTCGGGGATTAACATCCTCTCCGGGCAGTAAAGGGACAAAATGTGGAGTTTATTGCAGTAGAGGAGGAAAGTCACAGATTTTTTTAGCTGCATAGCTTTATGGATGGAAGATATCAGCTGGGGCAACACATTGGTCCACAGTAGAACATCTCAACATCTATTGGATGGATTGCTATGAAACCTTTCCAGTGAAATAAGTCAACATGTATTAAATGGTTTGGAACAATATTGACTGTGGACAGTTGTAGTTTCAGTGGAATTAAACCTAAAGACTGATCCGAACCTTTAGTCCATGTTTGTTGCCGGTAAACTTGCTAAACTAAGAGGGTGAACGTGGTAAACACTGCGTCTGCCTTAAAAACAGCATGTTAGTATGTCAGCGAGAGCAACACTGTGCCCAAGTACAGCCCTGCACAGCCACCAGTATGTCTTTTATGTAGTTTAATATAGTTTAAAGTGTAATTTTTTAAGCCATTTTGAGTCATTTTTATTAAAGAAAGAATGTCTAAATTCTCTGATCCAGCTTCTCAGACACACACCAATCAGCCACAGCAACAAAACCACTGACAGGTGACGAGAATAACACTGATTATCTTGTTTCAGTGGCACCTGTGAGGGGGTGGGATACATCAGGCAGCAAGTGAACAGTCAGTTCTTGAAGCGGTCGTGTTGGAAGCAGGAAACATGAGCAAGAATCTCAATGACCAAAACAACAAGTTCACGGGTGATCAAGGCTCAGTGATGCACGGGGGGGGAAAGTGGAGGCTGGATCAGTCCCACAGAGAAGCTGCAGCTGCTCAGGCTGAAACCTTTAATGCTGGCTGTGATTGAAAGGTGTCAGAACATACAGAACATACAGTACATCAGAGCTTGATGCAAACCAGTCACAGTCCACAGGCTAACCCCTATCAGCTGCAGTGGGCATGCGAGTGATGGAAATGATGTCTTTGACGTCAAGCGGATGGCTGGGTGTGTTGTTTACCTGGAGAAGAGGTGGCAGCACGATGAGCTATGGGGAGAAGGCAGAGGCAGTTTTAGGTTATTGCACCCTGTGGAGTCCAGACAGTTTTGGCAGCATAAGATGGACCTGCTTTAAGTTTTATTGTTGTGGCTCATGGTTGGACACATTTTCATCTTTCTTAGTCTTTCGTGATGGCAAACTTCTTAAATTAAAGACATTTAAAGTCACTATGGGTAGTGGAATTTGCACTTTTTTAATCTAATTTTCTGATATGTTACAGAAAAAAAATTAACCCCCCCAAAAACCACACAAATGAATTAATAATGTGAAGGTAGTCTTTACTATCCGCAAGGTCCATTTGTCCTGCAGTCAGCAGTGCAACAAAGTGGGACACAATTACACCGCACTCTAAAACCACACAAAAGACAAAAAATATGAATATAAAATAGATTAAAATAATGTCAGTGCTGTTTAAAAAGACAGTGTTTGCAGGGGCGAATGAGGTTTTTAGTCTGTTGGTCCTGCATCTACACAGGCTCTATCTGCAAGGAGCAACTAAAACTCACCAAACAGGGGATGACTCTCCCTGTATAGTGCAGATATTTCTCAGGTCAGTCCCTGTGACTTTACTACTTACTTTAACAATTCCCTGCAACCTGTTCAAATGTGCATAACCTCTACTTACAGCTCCGGAAAGCTCACCTGGTATTTTATGTTTTTCTAAGAAGCAGGTTCACGTATTCGTAAAAGAACTGAAGATATGTTGGCATCAAGGGCGTCTTCTCGGTCATCGGCTCATTATTTACGACAAACAAGCCTATCTGCTTCACCTTCCTGTCACCAATCATCCCATTTTGTGTTTCTCTTCTCTCCAGAGCACCTCGCCGCCCCGCAGAGCCCTGTAATCAATGGCAACCTCAGTCCAGACTCTTCCTCTAACCCGTGGCCCCAACAAAAACTTCCGCAGCCCCTTCCCGGCCCCACCCCTGTCGCCGCGTTGCGCCATGGGAAGCGTAGGCAGTCTGGTGGAGAGGCCAGACGTGTCCCCGACCAAAGGCAGCCGCGCAGTTCCCCAGGTGAGACCCAAACAGAGCAACGGCCTCCTGAAGAAAGGCTTCACCCAGAGAGAGCTGCTCAACTACCTCAACATCAGCAGGTGGGCTCCGCTGTAGAGAAGATACTTTGGTAGAACATTTCACACGCACAGTTCTATAAAAGAAAAAAACATGACGGGGCTTGACCTCAGCTGACCTACTGTGCTTCCAAACAGAAAAGAGCCTAAAGCAAGTCCGAGCAGCGACGGCAAGAAGGACATTATCACTGGCCTGAGCTCTGTCAGTGGCCGTGACGACGACAACGTTTATGCCAAAGTCTACCATAAAGACGGCAATGAAGTAGATTTGACAAAGAACTCACTGCCAAGTGGGGGCAAGTATGAAAAGGTGAATATTTTTGAGTGAAACTGCAAATAGGAGGCTGTAATATCCTTTTCCCCCCCCCCCAAAAAAACAATTCTGCGTCATTTGCATTCAATTATTTACCTGTTTCAGCTTCTTGTTTTGTTATTCTTCGTAATTTCCATCCGGCTGACAGGAGAACAAGTCGGTGCGTGTCTGACAAACATCTATTACTGTGAGAGTAAAGCAGATAAAGTGTTTTAAAGTGTCCTTAAAAGCAGTAGGTGTGTGTGTGGAGCACCGAGTCTCATCCGCCCATTCAGCCACACATGCAGATGAATGACTTCCCATTGTGTTCGTTTTATAAATGATATAGAGGCGGTGAAAGGCTGCCGGGGGCCGTGCTAAATTGATCAGTATCACATTTATACATCTCTGGCAGCGCGACGCAACACCCCCATACCCTGTTAGCAGCATAAATCAGCCCTAAACGTCTCGCAGCTCACCGGCACAGATTGAGAATCTGCCGCTTGCTGTGTTCTGAATTTATGGCCGCAATCAAATAGCACCTTTTTTTTTTACCCCCCCTCCTTGAATTGATCAACGTTAAAAACACAGAGGGTAGAAAAGTATTGATTTAATAGAAACAATGTGATTTATGTAGCCCAACCTTGTTTGCTGTAAGGTCTTCCTCTCCCCTTCAATTTCTATCCTTGCATCCTCTGAAAATGCCCCTAAACTTCGTCGGGTCTCGCTGCTCCTCCTCCTCCTCCTCCTCCTCCTCCTTTAGGCTCGTTTCAGGTCTTCAGCCTTCAAGCCTGTCACCCCCAAAAACTTCAGCTCCATGCAAAACCTCTATCCGTCTTCCAAGTCAGAGGATATGGATCATGGCCTTTCTAACGGACTCCACAGAGCCTATGCTCATGTCCCTAAAGCCGTCTCCACCTCGTCTTCTTCTTCCTCGCCCTCCCGACACGGAGGACCAACGTCAAACGGTAACAAGGTATGTCATCATATGATCATAACTCCCGCAAATCGATACCCGCAGTGAATTATCACCCTTGCCGAGGAGATGGGAAGTATCTATCAGCTATTTCTCAGCTCTACCTGTTGTTATTTTGATTAAACTCGGTGGAAAGTTGAGCTATGGGCCGGGGAACAAGCAAAGTTTCTGCACATTGATTACAGATTAACTACCCGTGATATGTCGCTTCATTTCCAACCATTATTTATGGCTAAAATTAAACTTCTAATTTCGCTGTGATGAATCAGTGTATAATTATGCCTGTGTAGGCTCTCTCCTCGGTGCGTGGGATCAGCCAGGAGGATGATAACCTGTCAGACTCGGGTCATAACTCCATGAGCAGCCTGCCGCCGTACCGGCCTCCCTTCCGCCCACACCTGGCTCACATCAGGTCTGCTGCAGCATTAATGCTTTAACTATACATTGTATTCAAAAAAAGAGAATTGATTTTTTACTGCGTGGTTGGTGATAATAAAAGAGACTTTTTGTGTTTTCTTAGTGCGTCTATGGGCCACATCAACACAATCGGCTCCCTGGACCGCACCGCTCTGGGCCTGAAGGCCGTGGGGTCAGGAGGTGTCGCTATAGGGGAGATAGCGTGTCGAAGCATGGCCACTCTGACCCGCCTGACTCCATATGGAGGAGAAGCTCCACCTCCTTATGAATGGACGCTGTCCCTGTCTGTGGAGGAAGTGGTGAGTACTGTGCAGGTGGACAATTAGATGGGAGGATCAGCAGGTCAGCGTGATTTACAGATCGCTAAGTCGCTCCTGCTGTTGTCTTTTTTTTCCCCCCAGGTGCGGGATCTGGAGGAGCGCTTGGTGGAGAAGGAACACGAACTCAAACAGATGAAAAGAAACCTGGATGAGAGTGAAGGCGCCATCGCTCAGGTGAACCTCGCTGTCTGTTAAATATAAATCTAAACCTCCATCGGCCTCTCTTTTTTTTTGAAGTCTGACCCCCATCTGCTCACCGTATGCAGGTGTTCGAAGGGAAACAGCGTCTGTGGGAGAAGGAGGTGGAGGAGCTGAAGCGCCTGTATGCCGCTAAGCTGCGGCAAGTTTCCCAGCATGCCCAGCGGTCCCAGCGCAACTTGCAGTTGCAGCTGTTTAAGGTGCAGCAGGAGAAGAGCCGACTGCAGGAGGAGCTCGACAGCTTGAAAAGAGAAATGAGCCAAGAGGCTGGAGCCATGCCAAAGCGAACCAGTCCGACCCTTGAGGAGACGCAGTGGGAGGTAAGAAAGGACAACGACAGTTTACTGCAGGGAGAAGCACTTAAAAGTAATGACTCAGAACAGACCAGATAACTAAAATCTTTCCTTGTTTGTCCCATTAGAATTATGACAAAGTCGGCAGCCAGGAAAAAGTTCTTTATGATGCAGCCGCTGATTATTTTCCGATTACTGTATCTCTCAGGTCTGCCAGAAGTCAGGGGAGATCTCCTTGTTGAAGCAGCAGCTGAGGGACTCCCAGGCAGAGGTGACCCAGAAGCTGAGCGAGATCTTCCAGCTGAAGACACAGCTCAGGGAAACCCGAACGGAGCTGCGCAGCAGAGAGGGCCAGATAGACGCTCTGAAGCTCGTCCTGCAGGGGACCCAGCGCCGCAGGGGTTCCCCTCATACTGTACACGAAGATGGAAAAGGAGCTGAAGAGAATCCATCAGGAGGGACAACAGGTAGTTTGTCCCACACTGGTGTCTTAAAGTGCCAAATTTGGTTTTCCCTGCTTTGATTGATGAAGATAAGATCATTTTATTAATCCCAAAGGAAATTCTTGTGCCAGATATTACTCAGAAAATACACAATGACATAAGAAATGCCTAAAAAGCAATAAAATATAAGCACAATACAATAGTGAGATACAATAAACAAGGCTAGAATAGAACAGTAAAAAGTCATGCTGGCAGTTATACTGATAAAATACCTGATATCACACATGATAATGAAATATTGCACCTGAAAAATAAAATGAAAAAACAATATTGCACATTACACAGACAGTGTTGTACATGTAAATGAAACATTGCACCTGAGAAATGAAATTATGAAATATTGAGCAATGAAATGCAACACAATATAGAAACTGATATTGTACAAACTATTGAGAAGATAATATTGCAAGTGATATATATATATATTATTGTTTAGCTCTAAGTGTGCGATGTTGTAGTTGTCAATCCTGCAGATAGAAAGAAGTCAGACTGTCTCTAGTGGTCTTGAGGATCCACAAAGAACAGACACAAGTTGTAGTTTCAGACATGAGTGTTTCAAACCTGCTTAGTCAAACTAATGTGACCTGCTCACAGGTGATAGCATAACATAGATGTGTGTTTAATATTAAACTAAGTGAGGCTATTTTAAGTTATGATTTTTACGTGTTTGGAGCCAGAATCAGGTTATTTGAGTAACCGGGTCAGGAGCAAAGTTCTCCGAGCATTTAAAAGCAGCCGATGTCTTTCATTACATTCCCCCTACGGCTCTGCTGGACTGTAGTTGAAGCCATGTGGACCTTTTTCCTTGCAGGAGGCTGCGGGGGCTCCACGGAGGAGCGTCTGCGTGCAGAGCTGCTCCTGGAGCGACGCCAGAGCGAGGCCCAGGCCATGGCTTTCGAGGAAGAGAGGCACACATGGCAGACGGAAAAGGACAAGGTCATCCGCTACCAGAAAGAGCTGCAGGCCAGCTACTTAGACATGTACCACCGCAATGAAGCGCTCGAGAGGGAACTGCACCAGCTGAGTGCGGGCAGAGAGCGAGGAGGAGCAGCAGCAGGAGGTGGTGGAGGAGGAGGAGGAGGAGGGAGCAGAAGTGGGACATTGGAAAGAGAAGTGCCAGAGCTGAGGAGTGAGAGAGCAGCTGAAGACCAAGAAGACACACATTCGTCTGGCTTGCCGTGGATAGACAGGATTGAATCCTCTGAAATTTGAATGTGACTCGTTTGCAATGCAAACTTGTTTTTCTCCTGAACTGTGGCCTCTATGGAAGACCAGGTCTGCCAGGAAAAGGAAAAAAGTAAACACACTACACTTTAAAATGATAAGACAGTAAGTCAAAATAATGAGAAAAGATTTACAGCTAATGTACCAGGAAGTGAAAAGATTTACTCACTAAGTCTAAATCATGGAGAAACAACATACAAGTTAGTTACAAAGTCAAAGTTCAGAATTTTTCACATTCTTTACTCACTATGACAAAAGTATGAGATGAAAATATTGATTGAAAAATATGAGACAGTTGGTCCAAATCATGATATAATTTGTGAAACATTGTGAACACCAAAAACCAGCTGCTTTGAAAGGCATCTTATATTTCAGAAAATCACTAAAGACATCAGATTTTTAACCTCAAGGTGGTCCTTGAACTAATCATGTTCACTAATCGTGCATTAATTCAGTTTTGTCAGGAAAATTAACTAAATGCAAGTTGAAAACTAAAATCAATTTATTAAAAATCATTTTGTTCTATGTCTTATTTTAAAAAAGATGGTTTAAAATGAATAGTTTGCATTAACCAGATTGTGCAACAAATTAAATAGAACAGGAGTGAAAATATAACAGGAGCAAGAAAAAAAAAAGTGTAACCAATATAAAGTTTGACCTACTACATAAAAACGATCAGATAAAACTTAAATGGTAAAATTCTGGCTTACTGTTTCCAACATATTACCAAGTGTCTCATACTTTTGATTCAGTATCTCAAAATTCGACTCAAATTTTATTCCATGCATACATTTTCATGTATTTTCTTCTTTTCCTGGTACAAACAGACTCCCATAGATTCCCATTCATCCTTCACTTCCTGCTCCTGCCTCCTCGGTGATTGTTTATTGCCCTCCCCCTGCAAAGACTGGACCCGCCACCTCCTACAGAACCCACTAACGCTGCACAGAAACACCGCGTCTGTGCCACATCTGTCCTTGTCAGTTTCAATTCTGTACAAAAAGAAACGCAGCCGAGCGCCTACAGTAGACTGCCCTGCTTAAGACCAATTATAAAACCTGTAAATGAGCAAAATTGATATGCTGATTGTGACTATTTTTTGTGTTTATTTGATAGTTGCTTAGTTCTGGACTGCTGTAGAGTCTTGACAGTAACTAAAGGGTTTAATGGGTTTAGTGCGGTCTGGTAACACCTCAGCAGGTGTTCGGTGTCTGCAGACAGATCGCTGGGTTCAAGCTTCACCTGGACCCTGGCAGGGAAAATCTGTGTCTCTGGGTTAAGTATGGAGGATTAACGCTCTCCGGTGCCAAGGTAACTGATGCTACTTCTTTGCCATTTAGAAAACTGTGTATCCAAAACTGGAAATGTTGTTTTTTTTCCTCATTCCAGTCAGGTGAGATCTATATATATATATAAATATATTTTGTACATACGTGTAATTTTTATTTGACTGGCCTTTTCGTCATTGTATTCCAAGCACACTGTTGTCTTACATGTGTATACTCCCACGTCTTCTGGTCGTGATCAATAGACGATTACTGCTTATTGGTGCCACTTGTTGCACAGACCCCAGCCAATAACTTCAAATGCATGCCACAGGTGAAAAGTTGTACTGTTTATTATTAATATATGAACATTCAAAAGCCAGCTCTTGATTGACCTTTCGACATACTGTGACTCTTGTCTATTTACTGGAATTAAAACTGTACAATATGTTTTGTTTTTGCATTCTTAATTACGGAGATAAAACCGGCTCCTGTCCTATTGTTGTTTGTTAATCGAGGCAGCAAATTGCTTTTTAAAAGGCTTTGAATTTAGCTGGTAGAAATCACTTGTCAAAATGTTAGAAGTGTAGCTGATGGCATTCACTCAAGGGCTCCGACGCCTGCCCACTCTGAAGGGGCTTAAAATCTCCAGAGAGCGAGAGCGCACCAATAAAACCCAAGGACAGGGGCTTTATGACGGAACGAACAAAGCGGGGTAGGCTTTTGGGACTAATGTGGCTTTTAGAGGTTTAGCCTTGGATCCTTATCGCAGCCTCTCCCTGCTCTCTCTCTCCCCCACCCCGAGCCAGCCCTCACATACCAGCACCTCCTGCAGCACAGACAGCAGAAAAGAGGTGGAGGGGCAGCTGGGATGGAAACGAAGGAGGATCCCTGTTTGCTCAAGGAAGAAAACACCTCTATGGAAACCATCAAATGTACAAACCAGAATGCCAAGTAAATCTTGGCAGGAAGGAAGGAAGGTTTAACACTTTTTTAAAAATCTAAATGTGCTATGGGTATAGATACACAGACGTGAGAGAAAATATATATATAAAAAAAAAAATAGTGCAAAAAGCAGAGAGCGCATGCAAGTCCATAATGTAGGTTTGTTTTTGTGCAGGGTCATAATCTGAATAGATGCGAGCTGCAGCTGACTCACGAGGCTCTTACCTTGGCATTTAAAACATTATATAAACTGGGGCTTAATATAACAGCACAGTTCCGGAGAGGTTGAGTGATTTAGTGAAGTGGGATGGGAAAATATTCTTACCTCTCCCATGTTCTCGGTATGTAGGAGTGCTGCAGCGCTGAGTCTCTGGTGAAATAACATGACTTTCGGTTAAATATTAGTGAATTTAGAAGGAGAAAAAAAAACAGTTCCTGCTTGTGAAACTCAAATTAAAAACCTCTGACATCTCAGAGGCTTCAAGGCTATTTAGTGCGACTGTTGACGATACAGCACCAGCGCCACCAAGTGGTAATGAAAGAAGGTTACGGCAGGAGCAGTCCACCACCAAACGCCAGCCACAAGCCTCGCAAAAAACCGACTGGAGTATAAATTTTTTATTTTAATTTCAGATGCAAGTATATGAAACATGTTAGAGGATAAATATTTACAATAAAAGTTGCATAACACACAAAAGCCGGAAATGCAAACATTCAGCAAAAAAAATGAAGAGGACAGAAGTACGAAGCGCTAGCAGTCTATCTGAAGGAACACTCAAGAGAAGCAATGAATGATTGTCAACCGAAGGCAGAAAACAGAGAAGAAGAAGAAAAAAAAAATCTCCCACACGAGGAACAAAAATGAACCCGGGATCAAATGTTAACCGAACGTGGTGTTGCAGATGTGAGCTATGCTGGTGCAGTTTGCTTGCTGAGGAAATAAAATTCGAAAAAAAATTGGCCTCACTTGAGTGTGAGGTGACATCACCATTTTCAAGAGAACACCAGGAACTTGCACTATTAGTATCGACCACCTAAACATACTGTATTTGTACATCCAAACGCCTGGGACGCCGCTGACACGCTTTCTCCAAGTGAAGGATGACACACCACAAAAAAAATTGAATAATATATACAAACCCCCGAAACTATCAGCCTCTAGAGTGAAATATGTGTAATCTTTGACTCCTTATATAAATTGTACAACTTTTAATACTAAATGCAAAGTGTGGTATGAACTGTTACAATGAGCCCTGAGGAAAATGTCTTAAATGTCACTACTGCAAATGAAAAGCTATGCAGCGGAGGCATTTTGTAGGTATATATTAAACAACAGCCACAACGATCCCCGTCCACAACAAGTAAAGCCTAATCACAAGCCCACAGTCACCGCAAATCAGACCATACGGCTACCGTCACACCAATTTACATCTCCAAAAAAACCACATGGCGTGCAAGCGTAGGATACACAGCAGAGTGAAAGCGAGCGATGGCACAACCGTGAAGAAGTTACGCAGTAGTGTTTTGATTGCGCGCGTCGCTGTTCCGAGTTTTTTTGTTTTTTTGCTATTTTACATGAGCCGTTGTGTTTTGTTGCGATGAAAATTAGGGACAAAAATTAAAATAAAAATAAAAAACACGTTTCACAGTAGTATATATTTTTTGTTTGCTTTTTGTCGTGTTTGTTAAATACATACATAGAACAAGACAAATGGCTTCTATAATGAGGAAAATCTTGCTGGTGCAGTCAGTCACAAAAAAAAAAGAAAAAGAAAAAAAAGCTGTTCCACCATTGATGAAATATTTGTTCTACTGATCAAACAGATGCATCAGCTGACAGTGACTTTCAAGCTACGTGAGGCCTTTATTACATAATGTAATGGGTCACAATCGAGAGTTCGCTTCCAGATAGACCTCCACAGTTCCCTTCACCAGCAAATAATAAACCTTCTACACAGTTTTGTTACTCTGTGGGCGTTCTCGTGTATAATAGAAGTTTATCCTGAAATCAGAAACTGCTTATCTACACCCACACTCTACACCCATTCATAATCATCCAACTGCTTCTGTCCAAAAACAGAAAAAGAAGAAGAAAAAAAACCCAAAAAAAAACGAAGCAGTCATCCAACTCAAACAGTCAATAAAGCCGAGAAAACAAACACTATAAAGTATTACATACTTTAAAAAGATAAGCCTATAACTCTGCAGGCATTTGCAAATGAGTTTCAATGAATGATCCGTTTTTCAGAGGTGCTTCTTCTTTGCGAGGATGCTCTCATTACTGACAGGCTCCTCGCTCTACTACAGGTTGTCGGTGGACCATCCCTGCTGTATATTTCGCAAAGTTGGAGGGTCCGAGGTGGGTTACAGGATGGCCGAGGCTGTCCAGAGGAGCACTGGGATAAAACCTTAATGCTTACAATAACAGGCCAGGAGGGCCAGGGACAGAGGAAAAAGGGCCAGAGCAAATGGTCCTGGAAACGCAAAGAGCTCCAGGTAACTTCATCCTTGATGAGGAGAGTGTGCGGTATCAAAAGTAGATCTGCTTGGCGTGTGACGGATTCTGCTCCATGGGGCAGTACGGGCATTTCAACCTGAGGATGGAGAGAGAGCAGGAACAGACTGTTAGTATTATCGACACTTTCAATCACTGCTGGTTATCGCCTAAAGCATAGCAAGAGCTCTTTGGTTATTTCTACCTTCTAGGGAGCCACTTCTTCCACTTGTTTCATACTTTCACTACAAAATTTTGCTTTCCAGAGAATATATTGGAAAGTCTTTCTTGTTGGCAGATTTAAAAAAACAAAACTGTGGCATCCATACTAGGGGGTCGATTGCAAAACATTTTTAAAGGCAAGAAAAAAAAATTACAGTACTCTTTAAAGTGTCATCACTCTTTCCGTTCCATTCTCTAATTTTGGACATAGTTCAGCAGGCAACTCTCAAATCTGGGTTAAATTACTTGAGAATATTTCACCATATATGAGCATCAGTGGCTCATGATTTGATCCAGGACGATACAACAAGGAGTGTTTTCAAATTATAGTATCATTTACATACAACCAGAGACTTCTACTCCTAATCAAACACTTTTCTATTTTTTTTTATTTTATTTTTTTTAGTTTCAGTATGAGCTGCATTTACAAAGTTAATACCATGTCATGCAGCATGCATGTAACTGGGACGTACTCCTACTTCCTAACAAAGCGTCTTAAGCTTAGACCGTCGCAGTCCAGCTTGTTTATACTCACATAAGACTCGATGACATAAATTAACAGAAGATTGTGGGTCAGAAAACCATGCTGTTTTGTACACTGCCAAATTAGACCAGATGTACTGGGACATCTGGGTATTTTTGGAATACTACATTTGGCATACAACGTGTTGGGACATACTCAGTCTTTTTCTGGTGTAGTATTTTGAATATAAGAACAGATACTGGGACACAACCAGAGATGTTAAACGGAAAAGACTTTCCACTTGTCCCACCCGTCCCCTTAAACAGCCAATCATCCACTTTGTAATGTAATGTAACATCCAGCCAACAGTATTGCTGCTATGCACTGAAACTTTGTGTGCAGTAGAAGGATAAATTGTGAGGGAAAAGTATTTTTAAAGTTGAGAAAAGACGCAAAATAAAGACTGTGCCACTCCCTATTTCTTTAGCAGTACAAAGAGTGTCTGAAGCACTCTGATTTTGATGTTAAACTTCTTTATGAACATGTGGAGAAACCTTATTTTGGGGCAAAGTCACAAAACTTTTGGGCTGTTTTCATTAGATCTGACTGGGGATCCGATAGATGGATTGTTTTATGTCCTGGTGACTATTGCAATGCAGCTACAGCTCTTCCCCATTTAGTTCAGATATGAGCTTGGTAGCCTGAAATAACTGCCCAGAAACATTACCAAGATGGCTGGCAAGTTGCGAGAGTTTCCTACAAGGACTTTGACGTATAAATCAAACTTTCTTGCTGACTTACTTCCCAGCGTTAGTGAGTTTGTTGAGGGCATCTCTGGAGATGACGTGGCCACAGATGAGCTTCATGGGAGGATTGCTCTCTGAGGTTTGCTGCCGAAGAATTGGGCAAGCGAACACAGAGTGGTACCAGCACTTCTTCCCCAGGTCGATTTCAATCTGCGTGAACAGGCAGGGTGTGAATTAACCGAGAGGTCAAAAAGAATGAAAAGGAATGTTAAATGTTTGGGTCTTTTTTAATTCCAAAGGACTTACAGGCAGCTCATCTTTGTGCGTCCAGACTCCGCTGCACTGTCTCTGCTCGATCACCTGCTTGATGTTCATCAGCACTGGCAAGGCCATGCATCCTGATGCAAAACTGAAACAGACATGGCAGTGTTGACAAATTTTCACTGAAGCTCAAATCTAGGACCAGCAAATATAATTACCAGATTCATCAATAAACAAAAGTTAATTGTATTGGTTTTAAAGCTAATCAGAGATGAGATCCACTGCATACTGTTCATGCTTTTCTCACCTAACACTTAGTGGAGACTCTACGGAGAGGCCCAGCAGAGCGCAGGCATCCCTGGTGAAGATGTTGCAGATCTCAGCCCACTGATTTGTCTCCAGCAGACTGCGGTACGGAGAATTCTCAATGCCATGACGTAGGTACACCAGACTGCCCATCAGGATCTGGATATCTGGACAAAATAACAAAAACAAACAATACTAAATTAATAATGCGAGCCTCATTTCATAATATTCATGTATTTGTCTTAGGAAACCTTTCATTTCTAATCATTGCGAGTAAATCCTGAATTGCTGTGTGGAGACACTCGACTCTTCTTGAGGGACAGCAACAGATTCTTCAGAGCGTATCAAAAAATGCTGAAACATAACTCGAGCATTTGTTTGTTTGCGTCAGCGCTGGCATAACGATGACTGTATGCTGCCTACCTCTCTGATGCTGCGAGGCAAAGGGCTGGAAATGCCTGGCATACTGCAGGGCCTCCATTTGGTTGCCGATTCCTCCACTCAGCAGGCTGATGAAGTACAAGCGATGCAGCTTGAACTCTAAACTGCTGTTCAGGTCCAGAAGGCGCTGCCGATTCGTCACGGCCCACCTAGGTAGGCGCAGAAACAAACAAGAAATCAGCTATTATATGTAAACATTCATGTAATAAATAGGATAAGACTTGAATAATCCAGGACAAAATTCATGTGTCAGATATTGCTCAGAATAAACAAAAATACAGAAGAAATTCCATGTCTTAAAAAAAGTGGAAAAGCAGAAAGCTGTTAACACGATACAATCCTGAAATACAACAAGATACAACAAGAAAGCTAAAATGTGACAACAGTAGAACAGGAAAAAGCAACGCTGGCAGTAACACTGAGATAATTAGTAAGTCACACATGATAATGAAATATTGCACATTACACTGACAATGTTGAACATTCAAATGAAATATTGCACACAAGCAATGTTACACATGATAATGAAATACACATGTAAAAATATAATATTGCGTATTACATACAGCACATGAAATGAAATGTTACACATGATACGGATGCTGATATTACAATCTACTGAGAAAAGTCATTTTGCAAATAATGTGATTTAATTGTTCAGATCACTCTATGGACACTATACGGGGAGCAAAGTGCTGCTAATCTCAGTGGAAATTCCTCAGCTGTATTAGGGCTGTTTAGAAATGTAAAGTCTTACAATAAAAATAAGATCATTAGACACAAACAGTAAAAAAAAATACAAATAAAACGACAACATACTCTAATGCCGGCCTGAGGTCCTGCATCCTCAGAGCTTCAAGGATCCTATTTAGCTCGAGGAAAGGCTGCTTCATACTCATGTCTATAACTACACCAGACTCCTGGAAAACAGAGCAAGTTCATATTAAATCATTCAGCTCATTTGCATTTCGATATATTTTTAATAGAGGAACGATCTCACAGTTTGTTAAACTACAACAGAAGCATAAGTATGAAGGCCTCAGCTGTTTACCTGACAGAGGTCCTCTGCTACACTGAGCATCCCTTGTCTGTACAGGTGCTCCACGATGGTCTCACTCAAGTATTTCTGTCTCTCTGGGGTGTCCCACACTGTCTCCGCCACCACAGCACTGATCTCTGCATCGAAATTCTACAGAGAAGCACACAGGAGGTGAAGTACATGCATGCGAAATGTTAAAGAGAGCTGCTGCCCGTTCTTACCCTGTCAATGGCTTTGCCGACTTTTGACACGCTGCCGTGGATGTCCTTATGTCGAGAGGCTAGCATCTGCACTGTTTCTTTGATATTCTTACAACACTGAGCCATAGTCTGGGATAGCACTGATAAGTCTGCATCTTGTACTCCTGTTAGACACAAACAGAAAAAGGGTTTTACTGCGCATGTCTACAATGACATGTGCCAGATGAGTTAGATTACTCCGCTGAGGAAGCACAACAACACACCATTTTTGTCCTTGGTAAAATTTTGTTAACTTTACTTGAATATATTCACCGTTGTTAGTGTTCAGTCACCTTCACGGTATCAGCTTTTCTTACCAAAAGCAACTAGCTGTCCTCGTATCTCGCAGACACTGCGCAGTAGTTCGTCTAGCCTCTCCTCAGACTGGTGGCCGTACATTACGAAGCGATGGAGCACCTTCTCCAGCTCCCGCTCCACACATGCACACTGTTCCATGATTCAGACTGGAACACTCACACACACAACAACAACACCTAGATTCAAGAGAAAAGACAGAACAACAGAACAAAGTCAGCGCCTGGACATTACTTACATACATTTTGGACTGTTTTTTAGTAACTGTGGGTGATATATACTCTGCATGTTTTAATATAAACAACCACTTTGATGTTTGAGATTTTCTAAATTAGCTTTTTAAACAACTTTGAGCAAGTTATTTAGTAAGTGGAACATTTTTACGTCGGAAAAATAAACTGCAGCTTTTCTATCCGTTCATTATTCTTATCTGCAGGGGGAAAATCAGGTCAGCATAATTAATGACCTCCTTTAAGTCTCCTCTTAGTTTTATTTGAGAGCATTTCCTGCTTTTACGTGACCTTAATTCCCCTTTCCATTGTCCTTCATTTCCTTTAAAAATCTGTTTATGTATTCCTGCATTGTACTTGTATTTATACACTGGATTGTTTAACTGTCTTCTATTAATCCTGATGATTTTATGACTTGGGTGTTGTGATTTAAAGGGCCTTAAAGCACATTATTATCAGCTTACATAACCGAGCTGCTACAATGATTCAATAAACCGATTAGTCAACTATTACATTAACCAACTACTATTTTGAACATCGAATAATAGGTTTAAGTAACAACAGGGTTCTTTGAGAAGAAAAAAAAGGCAAAATTATCTCTTTTTTTCTCATTGAGAACAATAAACTGAATATCATTGGGTTGTGCACAAAACAACACATTTTAGGTCATCAAATTAGGCATTGGGAAACACATTTTCTACCATTTTATAGACCAAATACCATCAACTAATCCAAAAAATAATGGCCAGATTACCTGACAATAACAACTTTAAATTGCAGCTCTACTTCACCTATCCCAGCACTGATATACCTGTGATGAGCTGATAACATATCCAGGTAATAAGTAACTATCATTTAAGTTGTCAGCAGTGTTATGGGAGTAGTTGGGGACATAGTACAACAATCCTGCTCTTGATTAAACACAACAGAAATAATAAAAATGCAGACCTACAAAAAGGAAATATAAGTTTGTGGTTCCAATGTCACAAATCAGTTCCCTACAGGATTTGACAAACCTCATTTTATTCTGTTAATCCCATGATTATCTCTGAAACTGGTCACTTCAGGAGGTACAATAATGCCTCCAATAAATGCCTCTGACTGCTGCCAGATAATGGTTTTTGTTAGACTAGAAAATGAGGAAAAAACAAGCCTCCAGTGTGCTGCCCTGATGCAAACTTTGCCCTGGTGTGTTACTGCTAACAACTAGCAAGGCCTAAACAACATTAGGAGCAGGCACACAGTGTACTCTGCGGCCTGGTGTTTACTAACCTCAGTGGCCGTTAACCACACTAAAGTACACTTCAATCATCGAGTAACGAAAGACAGCGTTGAAGGGTGAATTTGTCGGAGCTGCTGGTGTGCAAGCAGGTATTACTACTGTGTAATAAATACAGCTTTTAAGTTATTGATAGGCGCCGCGTTATCTCACCGCTTGTAAGCCGAATACAGAAAATGTCCACCTACCGTGAAGAGCTAGCTAACAGCAACGCTAAAATAGATCCCTATTTTAACACCGAAAATGCCATGTCGCTCGTTTCACCATAAAGGCTAACTGGTACACATTTAAAGCGCCACAAATTGCTAATCATGTCTTTTGATTGAATGCGTTAATTTGGAAGAATAGGCAGTCGCACGGCTAACATAAACAAACGGTATCAGGGTTGCTGGCTGCCTACAAAAGCTCGCCACTGCGGCTAGCAGCTAGTTAGCTCGTAGATGTTAGCCAGCTGCTCAGTGACAAGGCCCAAACAATTTCAGATAGGAATGACAACCCCTCCGTCCTCATCATTCTGCGTTATTCCAACAGCTAAAACGCCTACCGCCGTTCAAGCGAATTTGTGGGATATTTTTTAAATTGAAAAAACACTCACCTATCCTGCTAATTAGTTAGCAAACATTAGCGTTAGCCGCTTGCCTGTTATGGCAACACTTGACCAGCTGTCGTAATGCGGATCTTCCTGTGTCGCAGTCTGCGTTAGCGGCACATTTCAGAATAAAAATCTCCTTCTCTGCGACATCAAGGTCTCTGAATCATATTTCTGTCACTGGTGGTCAGAACAAGACTCCAGTGTTTCTACACGTAGCTGGTCATGGATGATGTTAAATAGTTTATATTCTCACGTGTGCAGCAACATATTTTAAAGCCATTAAATGCTGTTACAGTCTATTCTTGGATGTGATTAAGTAAAAGAGTACAATATATTACGGTAAGTTACATATACAGGGATTTATTGAAGGGTCAGTGTTGTTCAAAATGGTACACCTGGCACATTGGGATAGCTTTGTAATATTGTCAAGGACTAAATAAAATGACCCAGAACTAGTGTTAATGCATTGCTGAAAAGTGATTTTATGGGGGCGGAGGGTTACATTATAAAAGTGACCCCAAAAAGCGTTCAAACAAATCTAGAACAAATATTTGCAGTTTGATGCCACTTTATTTTGTAATTTCAAGTAATTATATGTCAAAAATAGTGCAAATCAAATCAATGCTCCTTTTGTGTTAAACAAAAAACAAAAAAAACACAACATATTTATTCTTGAATATGTTATTAAACAGCTTCCTGGAACTAAGCTAGGATGATCGAGTGTAGTCACGTGTTAATTAATGTAAAAGTATTACCACACCAGTAAAATCACCAGCTAGCTATTTGTAGGTATTTTACTTCTCTGAATATGTATATAATACTTTAAACAAATAATAAACATAGAAAATAGTGAATAAACAAGTTTTGAAAGCCTTGTTTTAAGAAAAAGCTGAATATAAACAGTCGTAAAATATTGTTAAATACTTTTTAATGGTTCACATCAGCGTTTCAGTTATGTAATTTCATTGTATAACTATTTCAATATAATCAAATGTTGACATGGTCTTATTAAATTTTTCAGCTTTTATATTAAAGTATAAGGTGTCCAATTCTCACGATAAAAGTACCAGTAGGATTTTTTTTTAAAGTGTTTTCAGGACATATTATGTTTAAGATGGAGTCATCATGTCTACGTTTGATTATTGTGTTTTACGTTTTTGAATCGAGGAACTAAAATAACACTGTAAATTGTTCCAGAAGACAAATGTGTCCCATTTAACAATACTTACTCTATCTAACAACTACCATCACTGATAAAGACAGAAATAACTGAGATAAGACATGACAGACCTTTATTAATCCAGAAAAAGTACAATAACATGATAATAGAGTTTCTAATGCAATAGATATAAGTATAGATAGATAGATATATAGATATATAGATAGATAGATAGATAGATAGATAGATAGATAGATAGATAGATTCTAAAAGTACAGAATACAATACGATACAATAGAGTGATCTAACCCAGACTCCAGCTCCACTCCCAGCTTCCTGATGAGCTTGTTTAGTCTGTTAGCATCGACTGCCTTCATCCTGCTGCTCCACAGTGAAGGAGACGACGACCAAGCGATCAAACATCTGCAGCGGTTGTGCAGAAGTCTCCTGAGGAAAAAACAGGCCTTTCTTGAACTTTCTTGTATAAATCCTCTGTGATTTCATTCTTGTCTGGTCTATTGTCTATGTGGACAGTGAGGTACTTGTAATCTTTAATAAACTCCACCTCTTTTCTTTTACTGCTGATAACATTCAGAGCCATCCTCTGCTTCCTTAGTTGTTGTGATATTGAGCTGCCGGTGAGTTCACAGCGCTCCTGCACTCAGCCTCCTGCCTCATGCTAATACAGCCCACAATGGCAGAAATGTCCAAAACCTTCTGCAGGTGACAGGAAATGCCACATTATCATATATCACATATCATATATCATATATATATATAAAAGGAAGGTTGTGTAATGTTTGCCTGTGCAAAGTTAATCACATCCTAAAAGAGCAACTAGGTCAGTTCAAAAAAGATAGATTTGAAATGTGATCTTCTGTTTATATTTTTGCTGTTTGTCATGAATACCGGCGCTTAAATAACTCATCATGCGACTGGATCCCTGTTTAGCATCACATAGCTCAGATAGAACCTCAGCAGAAACAGCGCCTGGGATGAATTTTAGAAATACTAAGTCAGGTTTATCTTGCTGTTGCAGACACATTTGTACATCTGCTCAGCATGTGGATGCTGAATATCAGCCTCTCTAACGAGCCCTTGCAGAGGTTATGATAGTTTGTCTGCTCACAGAGTCCCCCATGTAGCTTATTGTTTGTGCACAGCTCGTTTTGTGTGTTGCATTTGCTGTGGGTGAGGTTGGGAGAGGTCTTTGGACTTGAGCAGGCTGTGACTAATCTATCAGTGATGTAGACTAAAGCTCCCCATTGCTGAGGTGCTCATCATTCTTTCCCTGTGAGTCTGCTGCCTGCTGCCATAACCAACACTTTATCTCATGCTCTGCACACACATATGCTCTCAAACAAGTATGTATGTTGGTGTGTCCGGCCTTCGCATGTTTCCCATGTGAGATCTGCATGTATTTATAAAACATAAGCAAATAGTGTGTGGCAGTTTACTGTAGGAGCTCTAAATCAAGTGTATGATCCATCTTCTACTATTAAGAGCTTTGCCATCGGAGCCCCACATTATATACAAAACCACAGGATATCAAGTCTCTGAATATGAGTTAATAAAAAATCAGAGGTGTGTAAAAAAAGGATTTTCAGCTGCAGTCTCCATGAGTAGAACCATATTCAACAACTCCACCAAGGTCGAGGACTCAGTTCCCATTTTGATTGTCCCCAGTAAAAGTGCCTGTGGCAATGTGTGACACTGAGCCGAATTACATAAAATAGCCAGTTAACGTTCCAGTGTCAAGAGCAATCTCTCAACCCCTTGACAGCGCACATATAATACAGCCACAGCTTTATGCACTCATATGTTTTCCACTGGTTTGCCCTGGATGACTTAATAGCTGCGAATGAATGATAATCTCATGAGGTATTAGCCGAGGGACGGAGAGCTTATCCGAACTCACCGCCATCAAACGTGTCTCGACAGCATCAGCGTAGCTCAGAGACCACTGCTGTTGTAGCAACAGTAATAAGTACAGCGAAATGACACGAGTCCTTTTTTGTTTTGGCAGTTTTGACCGTGACTTAGAAGATGAAAAGCTTCGTCGGCTAAAACGGTCGTGGAGCAGAAAATTCCCTGACATTACAGGGGAAAACGTGACTTTAAACATGTGAGAGCCGCTTGTCACGTAAGTGTTGCCGGCTAACATGCAGTGCACAGGAGCTCTGCATTTGAGCCGTTAAAGTCGGGTGGTCTGTGTTGACCTTTGACTTCTTTCCCAGCTATACCTTTCATATATATTTATATACACTCACACATGCATACATGGGTGAAGGTAATCTATCCTTCCTTGCATGTACAGCATGCAAAACCTCTGGCCATGTGGACAATGTGTGCGCCATGTTTTGAACTCCCAATTTTTCTTTCTTTCCCTATCAGAATGCCCATAGGCAAACAGCTAAAGCTAAGGCTATCTGGCCCTGATAGTATGGGTCTATATATAGAGGAGCCCTGTGACTGATCTGGCTGTAAGTGTCAGATTCCAGGCGCACTCATCCGTCCTGGCCGGATCAGCACCTGCTGCTAACTATAAACCCACCCGCCCCCCTTTTGCGTCGCACCCAGCTCACACAGGACAGCCAATGCCCAACCAAGCCCCAGTCTGCAGAAGAAAAAAGATCCAGGTTGGGTGCAGTAAGCGCTTTCCCGGCTACCAGCTCTGAAGGGAGGGGCAGAAATAGAGATGAGAGTATTAGAGGATGCAGTGTGTCTCAGTGAGATGCCCCTCTTTGCTTTTTCTATTCAAGTCTGATAGATGGCAGTGCCTTTGACATTCTGAAGTTGTCTAGTCAGTGTGGCTCTGGCAGACTGACCTGCAGGGAGCTGCTTAGCTCTGGATTCAGCACACTGGTTCTGTCAGCTTGGAGGGTTTTGTGGATTTAAGAGTTTGTTGGATGAGGGGCAGATATTACAACACGGAGGAACTCCATGTCCTTGGAAAGGCTTCATCAGTGGCCAAAGGTACAGTAGCAGTCACTCTGCCGTTCTGTACTTGCAAGAGGAGCATGCTGTCTTTCTCTAGTGAGTCTGACATGTGGAAAGTTTAGATAAAGGCATTGGGCAGAGGTAATCTAAACATTATCTCTCCAGATGTCTAAGATGAGTTCATGTTTGTCTTGTGTCTTGTGAATTAACTGAGTTTTTGTTCTTCATACAAATTGCCTTAATGAAATCTTGTGAGTGTTTGGGCACAAATGAATTTCAGGCATGCAGCTAAAGACCTGTTGTCAAAGTAAATGTTTGTGTATTCTGTGGTGTTACTTTGCAGCTGCTTGCTACTGCTTTTTAATATACAATGACAGAGGTATCGGATTTGAGGAATTAGGTGATAGATGTTCTGGAGACAACCTGGCAGAATGCAAATTTAAGCTCTGTATTCCCAATTTGTACACTTTTTCTCTCTGTGATGTTCCTCAAATGCTACTTGTGGTATAAATGAATGAGTTACACTCCCTCCATGTGACCATATCTTATTTCTAGTCCAGGAACAGAGCCCAGAGCAGACTAAAGGAGCAGACTGGACTGGCCACAGTGAGAATTTGGAGCTTGTGGACTAGCGATGGACAGCTGGACTCTCCAGGGGGACAGCTACTCCTTCCTGCGCAGTGCGCCCCGCACCTTTTCCCTGTGCCATCGTGACGGCACTCCCAACCACGTTGAAATCTTTGACATCATCAACGTCCCTACTCAGCGCAACGCTATCTCTGAGACCACTTGCCTGTGTGACATTTTTGGAGACGACGGTGAGTCGCCATCCCTCTCAAGCAGCCCGGCTGTAGGGGCCATTGTCCCTTCCCCAAGGGAAGTGGAAGGGACAGCTGCTGCATCACCCCCAGTGGATGATTTGAACGACTCATCAGGCTCTTACCACACTGCACACGGCTCCAGCGAAGGAGAGGAGGGCTTTGAAGATTCAGG